GCAGTTTGTGGTAGAAACTGCAATGCAGTTTGTGGTAGAAACTGCAATGCAGTTTGTGGTAGAAACTGCAATGCAGTTTGTGGTTCACTGCAATGCAAAAAACAGAATATACCAGGAAATATGCATCAACTTGACATGAAATTGAAAGATCAGCATAGCCAAAACAAGAAATACAAAACATAACAGAAACTACAGAACAACATGACGTGAAATGGAAAGAAGTATAAATAATTTAGCAGAAACTACAATGCAGTTTTTGTGCTGTTCAGTGCAGAAAACAGTTTTGATGCTCTTTTTCTTTCTTTTGTGATTTTTCGGTTTTTAGAGGTTTTCAAACCAAAACTAAACCGAAAACCTAAACTACATTGCAGAATGAAGAATGAACAGGAAGTAAAATTTCAGAACCCTAAAATCGAACGCAAATTTGTGTTAGGGGTCATTTTCTTACGATTTTTTCCCCAAGAGAGTGCTAAACCCTTCAATCGTCGTCGTTGCTGGTCGTCGCTTCTGGTCGTTGCTCGTCGCTGGTCGCCGTTTCAGATTTTGGGGGAATAGGTTGGAACTGCTGAAAGAGAGAATGAAGAATCGGCTTCGATCGTTGGTGGTCTTCGATGATGGTCGCACGAATGGGTTGGTGGTCTTCGATGATCGTTGGGGGGGCGGCGGGTTGAAACGTCGAGCAAATGGGTTGTGATTCAATTTTGGTTTCGGTTGATGTCGTTTTGGTTCAGTTTTGGTTTGATGTCGTTTTTCAGTTTTGGTTTAAAACTAAATACTGAAAATGGCATATGTTGTAATTTTCATATTTTGTAATGGTATTTTTGTTACATTTTGGTTTTTTGCCTTTTGCTAATTAGACTAAATTGTATTTCTTTCTACTAAATTAGTAAACTATATTATGCTTTAAAACTAAAGCTCCCTAATATCACGAGCTTGAAACTTGGAGATACTTAATTGCTTATCAACTTTTTAACTGCCTTTACCAGGGGAATTTGTGGCAGAGGATAAAACGACTACCCGGTCCGGCCCATATGGATGCTTTGGAAGTTGGATCCGCTTCCCAACTCTATGTATGTTAAGACTTTGCCAACGACTAGCTTTCCCAAGTCCTATTGCTCCTCCACCACGTTCCTTTGTGCATTCTTCTTCATCTTCCTCCAAAAACTATCCATTTTTGCGCACAAGCCCAGAAATTTCAAGACTCCGTTTTGCAATGGCAAATCCATCTCAAGCTGTCTCGATCAGAGGACCAATCACTCATGTCATCTTCGATATGGACGGCCTCTTACTCGGTAATTTTGTCAAACACTTTCCGTGCATTGTCTCTCTTTACAATCTGTTTGTGTATCGTCTTCGTTTCTCTGTAGTTGGGCTCTTGCCACGCATGTTACACTACCACATGACAAGTTATTGCTAATGGTTTTCAGATTTTCACTTGGTTTTTGTTTTTGATAATTCAGTGGACCAATTTTAGTATTGTATCTCTTTTTGTTGTTGTTTTAAGTACGGGCTGTTGTAGTTTTTTGTTCTTTCTGCTCTTGCATACTCTGATGAGCTTGGCCATAGAAACTGTATTGGTTGAAGTTGAACAAATATGTTGCTGGAGCTTCAAACATTTGCAACTATTTTAGCTCAGGAATTTTTGTTCTGTGGTTGCTAATAATTAATGACACAGCATTTTTTCATGTTGTTTTTTTATTAATGAGTTATCAAATAGCTTGGTTGTTAAGTTGGAGGATTATGGTTTATGCCCAGATTCTAGGAATGAAACTGCTGATCTGATATGATTTTTGCTGATTCAGACACAGAGAAGTTCTATACTGAAGTCCAGGAAATTATACTGGCTAGGTATAATAAAACTTTTGATTGGTCTCTGAAAGCCAAAATGATGGGGAAGAAAGCAATAGAAGCTGCTCGGGTCTTTGTTGAAGAGACTGGAATTAGTGACACCCTTACTGCTGAGGACTTTCTAGTTGAAAGAGAGGCACAGCTGCAGAGTATGTTTCCGACAAGCGAGCTTATGCCAGGTACCATTGTTTGAGTACTGTGAAGCACAGATATTTGCATGCACATGCCTGCTTCTATTCGACTTCTATTTGTACTCCTTATGTTCTATCAAATACCCATTTTAAACTTAATCGTCCCCAGTTTAGCTTTCTATTTGCACATACCGAATATCATTAGTATACAGCACGGTTCTGCTAGTTTTAATTTATCTTTTTCTATGCTAAATTGTAGGGGCTAGCCGCTTGATCAGGCATCTTCATGAGAAAGGAATACCGTTTGCCTTAGCAACAGGGTATAGTTCCCTTATTTATGTTTTCGTTTTGTACTTATAACCAGTTTTACCAAATGCAGATCTAGAGCAGTTTGTTTATTGCATGTTCATTAACTTCAAGCCTTTCAACCTTTTTGAGTCGTCATAATTTATACTGAGAAAATCACAAAGACTGGCGCAAGCATCACTTGTTTATAAATATATCTTGCAGTTCTCATAAGCGGCACTTTGAATTGAAAACACAACGCCATGGTGAACTTTTTTCATTGATGCATCATGTTGTCCTTGGTGATGATCCAGAAGTTAAACAAGGGAAGCCCTCGCCGGATATATTCCTTGCAGCAGCCAAAAGATTTGAGGTATAACCATCTCAGATGTGTTCCTTTGTTATATTAGTTTTCTGACCCCTGAAATGCTCGACACATAGGCATGGCGTCCCAAAATGACTAGTCGCTAATGGGGTTTTCGGTAATCAATTGTATAGCCCATATGAATAAACACACAACCAATGTATTAATGTGCACTTGTTTACACAACTCATACACAAACAAAATTAGGATATCAAAATATTCAGCATGATTTGATTGTCACAGCAACAAGATGGTTATGACATTAGGTTATGATAGTTATGGGAATATCTATTCAGCATGGGCTGTGCTATTATTGCTCCTTTACTCATTAGTATTTTCAGTCAACATCAGGAGTGATTATGTAAAAGTGACTGATGACAAGATTCGTGTAAACAGGGTGCCCCAATTGATCCAAAGAAAATTATGGTGTTTGAAGATGCACCCGCTGGAGTTCTTGCAGCTAAAAATGCTGGGATGTAAGTGCTATAATTTGAATTTTTTTTCTTGTGTAAAATTTCAGTTATCATATCATATAGGGTAAACTGTCAATTTTACCAAGTGTCAAATCGGGGTCTAAACTTCTTATTTTTTCAGCCAATTTGTGTTACAAACTTTTTAAATAGGTGAATGTGGGGTTTACCATCGACTTTTAGGATTCCATCCAAATTTCCCCCCAAAAATGCACGTGATGCACTTTTTTCGGACAATTTTGACATTTTATGAGATAAAACAATATTTTAAATTTTAAATTTTAGAAAACAAACAAATAAAAGGGGGAAAAACCACCCCAACCTCACAGTTCACCGCTCCTCCCATGACCATGCAGCTCGCCCCTCCCCCTCTTCCCTCCCCGAAACAAAGAAATAATAGGAAAAACAAAACAATAAACCAAATTCACTGACTAACATAAAATAATTTTTTGCAATGCCCATATGTCCGAAGACTGAAGACAGATTCTTAGCTGGTACTTGGCAAACTTTCTTAAGTTTGTTCTTTCTGAAATGGGAAACAAAAAGTACAAATCACAAAAATATGGATTAAATAACGAAATTTTCAGGTGGGATTCTCCCAAAATTCAGTACTTTTGAAGTTACAAACAAAATCAAAGAGGGAAATTGTACTGTGTTTAGGATCATGGGGTGGTGGTCAAAACGAGAATGAGATGATGGCCTGCACTGCTGTTTTTTCTGTTGCTAGTGTTGATGTTTCTTGCAATGTGTTTGATCTTTGGATACAAAGAGGGATGAGAGAGAACTCAGAGGAGATATCGGATGGAGTAATTTATGGTCAGGGAAGGCTGATATTTGGGGAAGAAAGGCTTCCACAGCTCATGCTATTCCTCTATGAAATTTCTGGATTCAATGGGATCTGGAAGAGGGCTTGTAGATGTTGTTGGCCAGGCTATTGAGTAGTAGTACAAAAGGAAGGAGTTGCAGCATGAGCTGCGGGGAAAATGGGTGACAGAGGAGCTGGGCCGTTTTTCTTTTTTTCTTTTTCCTTTTCAAATTTGGAATTATTATTTTACCATAAACTGACTAAATTGCCATTAAAAAGTGACTCACATGCCCAGTACATGACATCTCTTTTGAAGCAAATTGGATGGAGCTTACAAAATCTGACGGTTGACCTCAAATTGGTGATTTAAAAAAGTTAGTAATTCAAATTGGCTGAAAAAGAAAAGTTTTATGCCCCAATTTGATACTTGGGTAAAATCAGAGGGCAAAACGGCAGTTTACCTATCATAATAATTCACTCATATTTGCCAAATTTTGGAAAAATCTCCAAATTTGATTCAGATGTTGAAGGTTGATTGATAATGTCAGTACAAAAATTAAAAACAAGTTGTTAAATCAATGATATTTTTGCTATAGACCTGTGTACATTTGCTGGTGTGGTTGGTTGCCAGACATCAAAAGGACACCTATTGGCTAAATGCTTGGTAAACAGTCGGTGACATGCTTATCTGTCTGTAATTATCTAGGCATTAATAATTTCACAAATGAAAGGATGTGATGCATGTTTATCTTTTATAGAATAGAACATTGAATATATAAAGAATTTTTTAGCGAGACAGTGGGGGATTTGTTTTGAAGTATTGCAAAGTGGACTCGCCTACATGGGAGAAAACTAAACATTATATGTCATGTTAATTTTGACCTCAATATTAGAATGATTGAATACAATCGTTAAAGAAGGACAATGAAGTTTATAAACTAAATGTGAAATATAGTAGTACATGTCTAGAGTTTAGCCTGAAGATCTGATTATGCCACTCTTTCAAACCACTTGAGCCATAGGCAGAATTGGATTGCAGTCTTGTAGGCTTAACCACTAATGGAAGGGCTAGAAACGTTTCCTAACGTCTTTGAATGAGGCCTTCTTTCCTTTGGCACGGAAATGAGTTTTTGATTCTTAACCATTTGAATCCGTAATAGATGGGTAATATGCATTCAGAAATGGAAGAACATAATGAATCTGTAGTACTGAAATGAATGCTTTAATATAGAGAAGTTCTGCTTGCAAACAAAATTCAAAATATGCATTTGTTGCTTGTTCCCAATTGAACCGGAAAGACCCCTGCACCAAATAGGTAATTTGCCTTCTCTACTAGTGCCCTACCTTGAGTCACCTCTTCATTAGAATCTAATGATTTTTATGGCTTGTTCTCGGTGGCATCCCAACTTAATGACCTCCAATAGAGGTCGTCTGACCTTTATGTTGTTTTGAATATTTGTTCTCTGCTTTTGTGCTGCAACATTGAACTGTCTACGGTATCTGCATGCCAAGATTATATTTATAACATCTACAAAACACCGACTTTTTGATTCAATTGAACATTTTGAGTTGGGTTGCTAATATTGTAATCACACTCTGTGCAGGTCGGTTGTCATGGTTCCAGATCCAAGGCTGGACAGCTCTTTTTATGATATTGCAGACCAAGTTCTGAAATCCCTGTTGGATTTAAATCCAAATGATTGGGGTCTTCCTCCGTTTGAAAATCCAGCGAGCTAAACTATGCTTTGTGGCATATTTATGCTGCAATACGTGGGAAACAAGCAACTTTTATTGATTAGAATTGAAGGCACACCTTGATGGTTTTTGCCAGAATATCATTCTTACGTTATTCTAAAACTGGTCAGCCACTTCGAACAGTGATTATTGAATTTTCTGTTTAAAAATCCTTGATGTTTCTTATCAGTAGCTTTACATGTTAGAGCTTTTGACAGATGATACATAAGTACACCTGCATCAACAGCATTTGGTCAGAAATTATTTCGTAGAACGCTTCGCAGCATCTTGGTTAGGAGTTGAATTGCTGAAATAAAATGTTGATATTCTGCAAACCTTTTGTACTACTTTAGGTAAGTTGTAAATTAAGGCCAATTCGCTGAAAGGAAATTCAGAGGTTGTGAATGCAATTGTCACTTAACAATGTAACTTCGGTAGAGGATTAAGTGGGCTTTTCTCTTATATCATAGAAGTGAATGTTTAGCTTTAGACATATTATGTGTATGGGGAAGTTGTTGCAACAACAAGATCATTAAGTTGAGGCGTGATTGAACATGATAGATGGTCAGGATTGATCAAGAGGATTGTTGAAAATGATAGGCTAAATTTGGGAGTATATTAAGTGGGATATTTGTTCATCTAAAATTTGCTTGATAAAAATAGAATATTTGTGTAAACTCCCTTCCCCGAATCGTTTGAATTAAAAAAAATAGAACCCTACACATGGACTCCATTGAAGAGGCTAGTGTTGCCATTGTGGAAGTTGGTTGAAATAGTTCGCATTACATGTCAGCCCCCAACAAGCATCATTTTTTCTTTTTCTTTTTTTAATCCAGAAAAGATTGACAACCATGATTCATGATTTCTTTTATATGGTTTTTCACTGATTTTAGATTAAGTTGGTAGTTGAGCATTTAAATTGACAAGATTAAAATTAAGGCTTTTAGGACCTAGGATGGGCCACACATTTAAATGCCTACATGCATGGTGGTTGCTACTACCACTGAGTCACTGACTGGTGTACAATCCTTGAATGGATTTGATGCTGAATTAGATGAGCACCGTATTTGTAGACAACATAATGCCTTTGGATTTAGCAAAAATGATATCCAGTGATTAATTTTAGGGTTAACTACATAAACTTTGGAGGTCATTTTAAATTGGATACTCCACTAACTCACAAATTCACGAAAACTCTACACCCAAGTACATTCGCTAGTCTTTTAGCCAAAAAATAAAAATAACAAATGTACATCCGTTAGTCAGACTAACGTCCATTAGTATCAATTTGAAATGACTCCTAAAATTTGGAGGGGTTTTAAGTAGTTAACCCTTAATTTCATCTATCTCATTCTCTCAAACAATTGAATCATCATAAAATTTGAATTTCTTCAATATGGTAGTATTTTTCTTCTCAAGTTTGAATCCTCCCTTTAATTTATAAAATAATAATAATAATAATAATAATAATAATAATAATACAAAACAAAATAAGCAAGTGAATCAATCTCTCTAGTTTAGTCAACCAAGTCACGCTCTGAGTTAGGACTAGCAATGGATCGTGTTGTGTCAGGATCATAAACGTGTCAAGAATGTTGAACTCAAACCCGACCCATTTAATAAATGTGTTATGTCTAGTTCGAGTCATGTTAAACAGGATTTTAAACATGATAGCTGGTTAGTAACATGTTTAACAAATTATTAGGATTGCTATATTTGACTTGAATTGATGACATGCATCTAGTTTATATTCTCCCAGATGTGTGCATCATCATGGCCCATACAACTTACAAGAATCACTTGGATAATTGAGTATTGAGAACAAGTATAAATAAAGAAAAAGAAGGAATAAAAAAACAATAAGGGCTCGTTTGGTACGTCGAACTGTACTGATTAATTTCTGTCGGATAGTATTAATCTGTTCTGAAGAGTACTGACTATTTATCCATAATATTATAAGGCGTTTGGTGATATTCTGGATAAATAATCTAACTAAGTTATACTGTGTTTGGTGTTATTCTGAATTACATCGGATCATACTATTTTTTTACAAAAATTCTTTGATAATTTAAGAGGAAATTCAAATTCAAATTACGCGAAATTTTTTTGATAAGATTCATATGACAAGATTTGTTTTTCAATTGTTTTTGCCAAGATTTTTTTTTTTTTTTCATATAGCCCATTATCATAATTGTAGTATCTCATATATATATATATATATATATATTTTAAGGCAAGAAAAACTCAGCAACATGTATTGAGTTGGATACACAGCTACATGATGATAATTTGATTATTTAATTATTGAGTTGGATACACAGTAGCATGTATTGTTCCAATACAACAAGAAAAAATGTCAAAAAGGAAAAACTCATAACCTAATTTTCACAAAAATTATATAAAAGAGGAAATCTATAAAGAAAGAGAAGATGGAAGAAGAGAGAGAGAGAGAGAGAGAGAGAGAGAGAGAGAGAGATGGATACATGGATACCTAGAGAAGAGTGAAAAAGAATAACCTTGGAGAAGATAGCGGAGAAGAACCCCAGGGAGAAGAAGATGAAAATAGCGTCGTCGGATTTTTCACGTGAACGTGTGTGTTCTTTTTCCCTAGCTGTATAATTAAGCGTATGTTATCTAAACCAGGGTGTGTGGGTCGTATTAATTAGTTAGGTAAGGAGAGTATTAAAAGCCCAACCCGTTTAAATAGTAAGGTAATTAAATAATACAAGTTGACACAAAACACCTCACATGAACTATTTACTTTTATCCAGAGTCTAATACGGTGTACCAAATGAGCCACAAAGACCCACATCTCAAATTCACAAGGTCATAAAAATAAAAATAAAAACAAGTAAAAAAAACTTGAATTTGGATAATTTAATCAAGTAATTGCACTTTGCAATTTTTTAAATTTTTAGATAAAAAAATAGTGATTATATTTTGCCTCTCAGTATGTATGATGATTGAGGAAGAGAAATTAAAAAAATGAAGAAGAACTAAATAAATGAGTTATGTGTATTTCATAGGTTGACGTGACCCGTTTAATAAACAGCATATATTTTAGCGGATTGACCTGAAATTCAGCCGTTTATTAAACAGGTCATGGCTAGTTGACTCAAAAATAACCCAAAATTTTAATCATGCGGATTAAATTGCTAATTTTCTGTATGAGTTTCAAATCATGTATCGGATCAATATTGGAAATTGCCACCACTACTATGAGTGTTAATGCATGTGAATGATTTTAAATACATAATATGAAACCAGCAGCCCTTTTGGTTCGTTTTTCTTATTACAGCACAACGCCCCTATTTGATACAAACGTTTCATCCTTCGCGTTTTCAATTGTTTAATTTTGTTCCCAACCAAAGCACCATTGATGTCGATGACGCCACTTGTTGGATTTGATTGAGAATTTAAGATCATTTATAGAATGAAGTGCTAATTATACTGTATAATGGTATTAAGGACCAGACAACCGACAAATTTAAATAGAGTACAATATGGAAAGGCTACTTCTACCTACTTTACTGTTTGCCTACAATTGATGTTACTTTATTTAATTAGCGAGGTTCAATCTAGCTATATACTAATTACAACATGATTTTTTCTGTGTGTTGGGGCCACCAAAAAAGAAATGTCCAATCTAAGTCATAAGCAAACCCTACACCCTAACTGCCCTTGTGGTTAAGTGCACTTGCACTAACTCCTAGTGGTCCAGGGTTCGATCGTTGGTACCACATTCTTTGCGAAACCCAAAAAACTACACCCTAAAGCTCCGTTTCATTTGCGAAAAAGATTTGATGAGAAAAAATTTCTCATGTCTTTTCCAAATAATGAAAAATAGAATATATTTTTTTCCATGTTTGATAATGCTGGAAAAGTAATTTGGTGAGGTTTTAAATAGTTAATCATTAATTTAATCTATCTCATTCTCTCAAACAATTGAATCGTCATAAAATTTGATTTTCTTCAATATGGTTGTATTTTTCTTCTCAATTTTGAAAGATGTCTCAAGTTTGAACCCTCCCTTTAATTTACAAAATAATAATAATAATAATAATACAAAACAAATAAACAAGTGAACCAATCTGTCTAGTTTAGTTAGCCAAGTCTCTGAGTTAGGGTTGGCAATAAATCGTGTCGTGTCAAAAATGCTCAACTCAAACCCGACCCATTTAATAAACGTGTCGTGTCTAGTTCGAATCATGTTAAACAAGTTTTTAAACATGTTAGCTAGTTAATAACATCTTTAACAAATTATTAGGATTGCTATATTTGATTTCTTATCATAATTTAACAAAAAAAGAATTCTTATCATAATCAAATAATAATTTTTTTCTAAACCTTGCAATAAATTGACTTGAATTGATGACATACATCTAGTTTATATTCTCCCACATGTGTGCATGGCCCAAAAGACTTACAAGAATCACTTGGTTAATTGAGTATTGGGAATAAGTAAAAACAAATAAAAAGAAGGAATAAAAACAAACAAACAAACAGGCGCACATCTCAAATTCACAAGGTCATAAAAAAAAAGAGTCAAAAACTTGAATTTGGATAATTTAATCAAGTAATTGCACTTTGCAATTTTTTTAATTTTTATATATAAAAAAATAGTGATTATATTTTGCCTCTCTATGTATGATGATTGAGGAAGAGAAATTAAAAAAATTAAGAAAATGAAGAAGAACTAAATAAATGAGTTATGTGTATTTCACAGGTTGACACAACCCGTTTAATAAACGGGTTATATATGTATTTTAGCGGGTTGACCTGAAATTCAGCCGTTTATTAAACGTGTCATGACTGGTTGACCCAAAAATAACCTACAAATTTAATCATGCAGATTAAATCGCTAATTTTATGTGTGGATTTTGAATCGTGTATCGGGTCAATATCGAAAATTGTCACCACTACTTTGAGTGTTAGTGCTGTGAATGAATTTAAATAGAGAATATGAAACCACCATCCCTTTTGGTTTGTTTTTCTTATTACAACACAATGCCCCTATTTGATTCAAACTTTTCTTCCTTCGCATTTTCAATTGTTTAATTTTGTTCCCCACCAAAGACACCATTGATGTCGATGATGCCACTTGTTGGATTTGATTGAGAATTTAAGATCATTTATAGAATGAAGAGCTAATTATACTGTATATTGGTATTATTAAGGACCAGACAACTGACAAATTTAAATAGAGTACAATGTGGAAAGGCTTCTTCAACCTACTTTACTGTTTGCCTACAATTTATGTTACGTTA